CTCCACACCCGCCCCGATAACCTAGACACGACCTGTCGATTGTCGATGCCATGCTACCAGTCTGGCATACCGGACTCGCGCTATCGCTTTTGGTCGGCCCACAATACCTCAATCTCACGTCTCCATACAACAGGAGGGTCGTGTGGCGTAGAGTAGAGTCCTACAGTGTGCGGCATACAACATGTACACGCGCACTTGTCGCCAAACACGGGCGGTAGAACAACATTTAACCGTTAGTCGGCCCTAGTAAACTTTGCCCGACAGTCAGGGGTGTGGTCTGTATACAGCACGAGACTATACTGTGGCCGACAGCCTCCGCGTTGCTTTTGTGCAGCAACGTTGTCGGGATGATGGGCACTCCCACGCTGCGACTCAAATAGAGCATAATCCATAATTTTGTTCTGTCGAAAACGCTTTTAAAAGGTCAGCGGTCTTCGCCTCTGTTTTGGCAGATGATCCCTTGAAACACTTTCCACTTTAAGTTAATATACATTGGCCAATTTTTAAGGTAGAAAGCTCAAAATCAATACAGTTCTTGCTTTTTATGCGACAAAGATACACTAAAAATATCAGGTACCTAGCTCAACTCGTTCTCGAGTAATTGTGATTACAGACAAACAGACAGACAGACAGACAGACACGAAACTTTTTGATCATTACTGGAGTAATAGGCTTCGCTATCGCTCAGCCAAAAACATTATTAGGCGCTGAGGGAATGGCTGTCGCGCTGAAGCCGCTCTGCTTTCTCGATCCCCTCCCCCCCCCCTCGCTGACAATACTGCGCCAGACCGTGTGCGCCAGGCAGGGCAGGCCCCCGTCCCTGCCCAACAATACTGGGCTACCGACGCCGGCCGCGCTGCCAGCCCTTATGCCCCCATCTCCGCCTCTACGTAGCATAAATATGAGAGGAAATTAGAACACTGACCTTCTTAAAGTTTTATTTTGTTTCTCGGAACTGTTGCTGTGCTTGTGTGTAACCTCTCCCCGTTTGTCTGTCGGCAGGCATGGTGGCGCGGCTGGGGCCGGCCGGTGAGCCGCTGGCCGGTGCGCCGCTGAGCGCGGGCTAGCCGCCCGCGGCGGAGCCTCGCCGCCCTCCTCACCATGCTGCACACGGCCGCGCCCTCCACCGCGGCGCCTCTGGACGCCCTGGCCGTGCAGCGCCGCTTCAACGAGTACACGCTGAGCACGCGCTACCACCAGTTCATCGGCGTCCTCACCAGCCTCAACCTGACGGACGCCGAGCTCGAGCTGCTCAACCTGAGCACCCCGCTCAACGGCACGGTGCTGGCGGCCACCTGCCGCCCCAACACCTGCTACTGCGCCGGCGAGGTGAGCACGTCGTCCAGGGAGCACCCCGTCCTCCCGCTGACCTCGCGGGCTGATCCGCGCCGAGCCGATCAGGTCTACGAGCGGCCTAATCATCTTATAACCATGACTCAGCCCCTCCCCTCCCCTCCCTCCCGCTCCTTGACCGCTGCCGACCCTGGCACGACTCTTGCCGCGTCGCCACGCGGCCCCCCGAGTTCTTCGGCATTCCTCCCTGAAGTTTCTTGTTTCTTTAGTATGCCATACCCCTCCCTCCTCCCCCCAGGGCCCTGTCGCGTCAAGTCGTTATTTTTCGGGGTGGTCGCTGGTCGCATCACCTCAAGGTTAGCGAGAGTGACCGGTCGCGTACAAAAGTAAAACATCGTTGACCACCGCCCGCTGTGTCCCCTGACCTGCTCGGCAGAAGGGAGCAGGTGGAGTAAAACGCCGCGGGGTTCCCTCTACGGCAACCATGACGAGGCCACCTCACGAGCCGCACGCCTGCCACGTCGAACAAAAAGTGAGCGAGCACCAGGTGCGCGATGGATCAGCAGAGACTGGTAGGGCGTTCGCCTCGCCCCCGGCCCTCCCCTCCCTACCTCGCCCTGCGCCTCCGCGCCTCGCCCTGCACGGTCCTGGCCCTTCTGTTAAATCCCTCGATTAATGTCGGGGGAGTGAAAAGGGCTCAGGTTTTGTATGCGGTCGTTTGATTAGTTAGAAAATGCGAAGCGTGCTTTTACATGAGTTGCTCGGTTAGGGGTCAGGAACCTTGGGCAACGATCATAATATCAAACATATGACAAAAGGGCCAAACAAAACGGCAATCCGCTCGTGTACCCGCACTGTTGTTGAAAATGTAATGTTTTGGAATTAATTTTGTTTCTGGCATGTATGGGTCGTTTGTAAACAATCAGTGTCGTTACATGACACACTGCTGGTTAATCAGTGCGAAGCATTTGCTTATTCGGAGACGCTAGGCGTCTAGGCAGTCCCGCCCACTTGCGTCTCTGTAGGCAAGGGGAGAGGGGGTGGGAGAGAGAAGAGAGAGAAAGGAGAGAGAGAGAGAGAGAGAGAGAGAGAGAGAGAGAGAGAGAGAGAG